ATGAAGGTGAAGGAAGGGGAAAAAGTTCCCCTTTATTCCCTTTCCTTTCATTACACCTCAATTTGGGGTGTAAGATTTTGGCTTAAATTTCTCCCTCATTCCCCTCCTCTGCCCTCTTAAATGTAACTCCCAAACAAGGTTAAAATTAGATTTCTCTTTCTGTCCTCCATCCAAACAGGCCATATAAGAAAAAGAATAGTGGACTTTTTTTTACAAGTAATCAATTTCTTTTAAAAAAAAAGCTAAAAAGAATAGGCCTCGCACTTTTCTATTTTGTAGTATAAAAGCAGTGTATGAATAGTAATGTAACGATCACCGCTCGAAAATAAAAGACTAAATATCAGAAAAGGCCTCTTAATTTTGGATGAATATCAGATAGACCCTTATAACTTTCAAAATATCAGAAAACCCCCCAAAATTAGGGATTAAAAAAAAGCCCCTCCAAGTTTTTAGATTTTATCAGAAAATCGCCAAATTAGGCGTCCACAATTTTCACATGGATAGATAAATTACCAATGAATTTTTTTAAGTGGGGCAGACCGGGGGGGTTACGCTTATAGAAGGATTTCAAAAAAAAAAAAACTATTGAGGGGCGGGACGGGGCGGGGCGGGGCGGGGGGGGGGGGGGGGGCGGGGGGGGGGGGGGGGGGGGGGGGGGGGGGGGGGGGAGGGGGGGGGGGGGGGGGGGGGCGGGGGGGGGGGGGGGGGGGGGGGGGGGGGGTGGGGGGGGGGGGGTTGGGTTTGTGTCAATAGCCGTAAAAAAAAAGAAGTTATCATTGAAGATGTTTCATAAAGACTGCGCCGTCCCAAAAGAACGAAGACGCTAACCTTAATATCCCCCTCCCGTTAGATATTTTGCAGACGTAGGACAAAAAATCTCGCAGGTCGGTTCGAGTGGCACGTGGCATCGAACGAATGGTAGCCTAGGTGACCCCACTCTAAGATATTTGTTGAGGTTTTTTCATTACCGACACGTGTCAAGTTCAAACAAGTAGCAGAATTTTATCCGGAACCACTTTAAACCTTGGAATTCAACTAGAATTACGAATGGTACCACCGGCAGTTGCCTTTGCGTCGAAGTGGAAACTTCGATTTTGTCCTCGGGCAGCTATAGTTCTATAAATGTTTTTTTAATAAATGGAAATGTTTGGTAAGCTTGTCCGGTAAAATACTAAAGTTGATTAGCTTAAAATGAAAGAAAAATTTTTAGCTAAAACGAAGAAAGAAGAAATCCGTTAGTATTTTGAAAAAGAATAAATAAAAAGAAACACAATCTTTTTCTCTTTTTTTTCATATGGGTTGTCTCGTATTCAGATTAACATGTCCTATTCTGTTTCTACTTATTTTAAATTTAAATCTATTAAAAAAATGAAATGCATTGAAAGTAGTATATTTTCATCTATAATGTAAAATCATGATTTTTTTTTGAAAATTCAAACATGAAATTTCACAGTTATTATTAGTTTAATATTCTTATCTGCAAAAATTAGAGGTGAATAATAAATTATAAGAAAATACTCTAAAACGGTTTGAACAAATGAAGTATGCTAACAAGTGTTTAGGTTGAGAAAATAATTATGATAGAATCATAATGAAAGAGTTAATAGAAATAGAGATTATAATAAAATAAAGGATAAGTTACAGATAACCCTCTCAACTAGCATAACACTTGAGACATAATAAGTATTATTGAATATATAAATGTGGAAATTATCTGAACATGTCTTTAAAATAAAACATCAAAACTGAAGCATGATTAAAAGGCATGATAATTATTAATTAGACAAACCGACTGTTTTAGAGTTTTACACGTAACCAAAGGAGATGTTTGTCAATTTTTAGCTACAGGGAAATGTTTTTTTCCCAAATTGACGCCCCAAAAGGACAAGCAGATATTTGTCAGATGGATGGCACTTTAGTAAATATTTTCCAATTCAAAGGGCCTTTTTTCAATCCCCTGCTGGTTTTTATATACTTAAACCGACCCCTTCTTCTCCTCATTCCACCGAGACACAGAATTTTTTTTAAGAGAGAGAGAGATGGGGATGAGAGAGAATGGAGGGAAGAGGATAAAGTGCTTCACGGAGGAAGAAGACGATGAAGATTTCATGGATTGGGAACAAGAAGAGAATGAAGCAGAGGATGATGATGATGATGATGACGTGTTTGCTGGCAACAAAAACAGCAGTCCGTTCTGCCACCAATTTAGACCTTCAGCCTCCTTTGTTGTTTCTGATGCTCTGGAGCCTGATTTCCCCATTATTTACGTTAATACCATCTTTGAAGAGGCCACGGGGTATCGAGCCGATGAAGTCCTCGGCAGGAATTGGTACGGATTCTTTCGCCTTTATGTTTCTTTCTGGAGGATTTAACATTGGCCCATGTTGCGAATTCTTTGAATTTTCTGATTTTTTTTTTTTTTTTGCAAATTTGTTCGAATTATTTTTTATTGGTATCAGTAGTTCGGTGCATATTAAACAGACCCATGAATTATGAAATTTACATGTGCATCCTGATGTAGTGTCTTCTCTGTTCAATTTAGCATAGATTCAATTCAATAAAGGATGAAAAAATATAGATTCATATATTCATGATTTTTTTCATAGGTCTGATGCTTGCCTTGAATAGAAATTTGTCTAAATCTTTATGTACAATATATGCCAAAGAGACTAAATGGACAAAACTCCAGTAAACTCTTTAGGTGTATATAATTCATCAGATGTTACCTATTTCTGTAGGCAAATAAGGTGAAGTAAGAACAGACAAAAAAAAAAATCTTCATATCCAGATGAACTAATATTTGAACTATACTTTTGTTATGCAGTCGATTCTTGCAATTTCGAGACCCCCAAGCTCAAAGAAGACATCCATTGGTGGATCCTATGACCGTATCGGAGATCCATCGATGTCTCAATGAAGGAACTGAATTCCAAGGTGAGCTTCTCAACTTCAGGAAGGATGGAACTCCTTTAGTAAACCGTTTAAGGCTCATGCCCATAGGCGACGATGGCATAGTTACCCACATTATAGGCATCCAAATTTTCTCAGAAGCAAACATCGACCTCAATCGGTTATCCTACCCAGTCTTCAAACACTCCTCCTGCAACAAAACAACCCACTTCAACTTCAGATCCCCAACCTCGGAGGCTAACATCGATACCCAACATACTCCAAATCATTGTGCAATACTTCAGCTCTCTGATGAAGTACTAGCCCACAACATCTTATCCCGATTAACCCCTAGAGATGTGGCCTCTATAGGATCGGTTTGCACAAGAATGCGTGAATTAACAAAAAACGAACATCTGCGCAAAATGGTTTGCGAAAACGCCTGGGGACAAGACGTGACCGGAAAATTAGAGCTAAGTACAAGAAAATTAGGGTGGGGCCGTCTAGCGAGGGAACTGACAACCCTAGAAGCCGCCACTTGGAAGAAATTCACAGTTGGAGGTAGAGTCGAGCCCTCTCGCTGCAATTTCAGCGCCTGCGCTGTTGGCAACCGCCTTGTGCTCTTTGGAGGTGAAGGGATCAACATGCAGCCGATGGACGATACATTCGTTCTCAATCTCGAAGCAGACAATCCAGAATGGCATCGGGTTAAAGTTTCCTCATCACCTCCAGGGCGATGGGGGCATACTCTCTCGTGTCTCAACGGCTCATGGCTAGTAGTTTTCGGTGGCTGTGGACAACAAGGACTACTCAATGATGTGTTTGTATTGGATTTGGACGCTCAGCAACCA